TTCATAAGAAAAGTTAGAGGACACGTAATGAAAATTTATAATGAAATTGATTTAGGCATATCAAAGCATAGCTTATCTACAGTTCCGAAGGAATTATATTTATGTGATGAGAATTCAGTGGAAGTGAAGAAAAATGGAATAGAAAGCGTAAATCAAAATTTACATATTTCTCTGGAAAATATCTTAAAGATTTGCCTATGTATAAATCTGTAGAATCGGTTTTGCTGAATTCTTCGAAAGAACAAAAAATCATATTGAATATTTTGGAAAACGGCCTGGTGAACGATGTTACGTATTATAAAGAATTCCGAAACTGGTAATATTATATCGGTCATAATGATTTTGTTACAGGTGATAAATTTGTAACTTCTCAGGATTTCAACATATTGAATGCCAATAGCATGTCTCAAAGTATAACTGAACAATTTTTCAATATATATTTTGAGTATGGTAATTATTAGAAAAAATAAAAGACAGTCAGATGTGGCATTATGGATAGCTACAAATACTTTTTTTGTATTTTCCCAGTATTTTGTACGGCTAGAAATTCATAGTTCAGTATATCATATCTTCATCTTTTCCAGTTAGTCTTATTCGGGGACACAAGCCAGTTTGAGAAGGAAAAAATTAAACGTCTAATGTGGAAGGGGTGGTTTTTTTGTATGTTTCCGATATTTTGGACGGCTGAAAATTCTGAGTTCAGTACGTCATCTCTTCATTAATATTTTCCAGTTAGTAGTGTTCGGGGACACGAGCCAGTTTAAGAGGAAAAAAACTAAATATCTAATGTGGAAGGGGTGGTTTTTACTATGTTCCCGGTACTTTGGACGGCTAAAAATTCTGAGTTCAGTACGTCATCTCTTCATTAACATTTTTCATTCAGTCGTATTCGGGGACACGAGCCAGTTTAAGACGTAAAAAATTAAACATCTAATGTGGAAGGGGTGGTTTTTTTTATGTTCCCGGTATTTTGTACTGCTAGAAATTCATAGTTCAGTATATCATATCTTCATCAACATTTTTCAGTTAGCCGTATTCGGGGACACAAGCCAGTTTGAGAAGGAAAAAATTAAACGTCTAATGTGGAAGGGGTGGTTTTTTTGTTGGTTTCCGGTATTTTGGAGGGCTGAAAATTCAAAATCCAGTATGTCATCTCTTCATTAACATTTTTCATTGAGTCGTATTCGGGGACAAAAGCCAGTTTAAGAAGGAAAAAATTAAACATCAAATGTGGATGGGGTATTTTTTTATGACCCCACTATTTTGAAAGACTGAAAATTCAGTGTTCAGTATATCATTTCTCTGATAACAGTTTTCACTCGGACATAACTGATGACAATTCACAGTTCGGGAAGTGATGGGAGTTCATTTTTCTATGACACTGATAATTTTCTGAAAATTCTTCTGATGAATTTTTCACTTGGTCATAAATTCCACCAGTTGTGACCCAAAAGTGTTTTATATCTATCACATTCACGTCAATGTCTCCTCGTCATTATAATATAATGAAGCTGCATGCAGTATAATGATATTTTCAAGTTTGAAGTCGATTCTAAGAGGAAATAATCATGTTGAAAATATTGATTGCCAAATAAGCGATCTTTATGAATCAACATTCTACTAGTTGTGTGGTGTAAATCGGACTCAGGAGTGGGAGGTGGGCGCTAGATTTGGACACTGGCGTCCGACGCTAACTTCACGCAAGTTTTTCAGTTATAATTTCACATTTGCAGGAGCATTTTCTACCTACTTATATCAAACAGCGACCCGTGAGTAATTATTTCTCAGTTATATTAGCTTCTGAAATATTTGTTAGGTGTATATTGAATGTTTTTATCATTATCAAGTTTTCATTTCACGTTTAAGAATTTATAAAAAAGATCTTCAAGTAATTTGTGTTGAAACAGCATTTTATATGTTATTTTCCTTTTGTTTCAGGTTTCTGAACTGCAGTATGTGTTTCGTTCCTGATTGTTAACACTACAGTGAACAGAGGATTTGTAAATTTTTTGGATTTCCTGAAGACCCAGCTGAGAGAAAAAAGTGGATTAATCTCATAAGTTACCTGATCACCATACTTAATACATAGATGAAGCATTTTATTGTTAAATTAATTTGCAGGAGACAAGATCGGGAACCATGAAAGCATTCATTAGTTTGCAGTTGTCACTTTGTTAACATGTTTGAAAAAAATAGAACAACTTTATTTGAATTCAATGTGAAGAGAAAGTTCGACTTTTAATCTCCAGAAAAACGATATGTTCACATGAATGAGAAAAGATATTACCATTATTGGAGTCAATAACTTTGTTTTCAGTAAACGAACCATCAAGGCAAGAGAGGTTGAGGTGGAAGCAACCAATATAAGTTCAGAAGCAGCAGGGCCTTCAGAAATATCTGAAACTGAGACCCTTGCGATTCTAAATCTGTAAATGGATGATACCATTTTATGTGGAAATGATCCATATAGATACTTTTATTCCTTTCACTGATTGGATTTTTTGAATTTGATTCACTATTTACAGTAGTGGCCATAAAAAAATAAATACTATCTATTACAACTGATCGATATGGTTTCCATTATTTTGAGCTTGTCCCCAACAGTTACTATATTCAATACTATTACAGAAATATTGATGAAGGTACATTCTGAATATTTATCACATATATCTAATACACTTTATCTTAACATGATTATCTGGGTATAATTTTATATACTGAGTCAAGTTTCAGCTGATGTAAGATTGTGTGTAAGTTTTGGCAGGTACTGTTTTATATAAAAATCTTCTAGCAGCGATAAGTTTTCTGCCCACAGTGGATCATATTCCTTGTCAGTCACAGATACATGGAAGTGTCCAAAAAGAGCTAATGTGGCAAAATGATGACATTTTATTCCTCTAGGACGAGCACAATTTGAAGATATGATATCTTCAGATTTATTCAGTGTGATCTGCAACAAAGATACAGTTCGGTAAAAATGGAAAAATTATACATGACATACGACTCACTTCAACATGATAGAATTTATTTTTCATGCTTGCATGAACTTCTCTTCTTCCTCTTATCATCATCAAACTGCATACTTTCCACATGATTCGATTCCAAGGCATTTTCAGCCTTTTTCATGATTTTATTATCATTGTCGAATGAATCATTTATATAGGATAGCTTTAAAACAATGTTTTGAAGCCATTCTATATCTGAAATCTGAAACAATAGATGTTAAATAACTATATTTAAATTGAAAAAATAACATAAACTCGACAAATATAACAATTCTTGAATTTTCATTAAAAACGTTACCTACCAATGGAGATTTTTTTCAAAATATGTAACAACTAACTGACACCAAATCTCTTATGGCGTTTTAACATGTAAAATCAATTTGTTTGGAAAAGTTCGCTAAGCTCCGCCTACTTGTGACGTCAGGAAGTCTATCAAAAAAGTAAAATCTTCTCACATTTGACACTTTGTGGCCTCAGGAGCTCAAGGCTTCCTACCAGTATTGAAGGGGGAGTCATAATAACGGTTGATACAATTTATAAACTGACAGATAAATCAAGGGATTTGTTAATAAGTTTGGAACCAACTGAGAAAGGTGTAGATGTTAGGGAAAGGAATTATACATATTTTAACTGGATCTGAATTTGATTCAATTGGTTACCATCTTACCCACGCCCTTCTTCACTGTTTGAAAGCTGGCGGCCTACCCTGGGAGCTATGCTCTCTCTCTAATCCCTAGTTGCTATCCTCACGCCAAATTGTGGAAAAACGAGAAATCGTTTACAAATTGACTTAATTAGTCAATGAGAAATAAAAGACGTGACAAAAGATGGCGCCACCTATCAGTCTTTTGAAAAATGAGTTCAAATATTTTTTAGCATTTCTTATAATTTTTGCTAAATAACAGATCAAAGCAATTTTATTTTTATATTCTTCAACACAGATAATATCAGGTTTGTTCTGATTCTACAAAATTCAGGTCTCAGGACGTCAGGATGATGCGCAGTTGATATATAGCGTTCTGGTTTATTGAGGATAATTTCGGATGCCAGTATATGTACTTATATTCAATGATGACAAATTGTCAACTTCAACTTTCAGTTAAAGTATTACTCATCATATGCACAGATACTCAATGACTAACAAATTCCCAACTTCGACTTTTCAGTGAAAGTATTAATTTGTCATATAATGCACAGATATTCAATGACTAACAAATTTCCAACTTCGACTTTTTTAGTCAAAGTAGTCATTTGTCACATAATTTGTGAATACTATTACTACTACTGTTTGCATGAATAATGTAGTCCTGAAAAGAGCTGTTTTTTTACCAGTAGGTCCACGGTTATTGTGTCACAGATTTGACTATTGCATATTAAACATGTCGACACTGGGGTGAAGTTTGTTAGGGGTCTCTCGCAAGTATCGCACCAATTTTGTCCCATTTCCATCATGGAAATGGTGTTGTGGGTGTTAAATAACTTATGTTTTCCAAAAAACGAAAAGTCTTTTAAAAAATGATTTTTTATTCAATACATAAAAATTATTGAAAACGATGTTTATTAGTACATGTATATAATCAGACTGAATGCAAAAGGTCGTTTCCCGAGTCGATGCTCTCTGGCCGGCTATGCTGATAAGAAGCTTTCCTAGGTATTGTAGCTGAGTGTCAGCAGAATCCGGGGTCAGTGACAACGTAATTCCTTCTTCCGAAGATGGAAAACAGGGTTTCACGAAGAGAAAAATGTTTTCCGCTGCCTTGGTAAGGGTGGATCTGTATTTCCCTCTTGAGGTCCTTCAGGTGGTTGGTGTCGGACTAACAGGTGCTTGTATTTGTATATAACAAATATCAAAAAACATACTATGATTATAGTATATGCTGGAACTGTCCAAATATAACCTGATGATGGGCGAATATATGTTGTCAAGGGTAATAAGCGGTCGGCCTCTCTGTGGATTTCGTTTAGCTTGTCTAGAGGAACGTCTTGGAGTTTTAGAACTGGTACCACCTGGGTTGTTGGGATTTGAGGAAGCATTGTCTGGTAGAAGTAGGGGTTGTTCTCCTATTTCTGTTGCTTGATTGACATATTTGTCCGTGGGAGTTTTGAACTGATATCCACGATCAAGTGTGCTCCCTTGAGAGTGGTTATGTCTGTTGTTCTACAAATAGTCTGGATACGGGTGGCATTCTTGAAGATGCCAATATAGTGGGCTTCATCTACTTGTTCGATAATGTTTGATTCCTGTTGGATTGGTATCAGCTCGCAGTTAAGTGGGTTACTGTCGATGCTCAGGATTTGAAAGATACAATCGCTCGTGGTGGATCCCGGCAGGAGGTCGTTCCAAGGGCAGTAATGGACATCGTGCAGGTCCAGGCAGGGCGTTGTGGAATATTGAAAATACACCTCATCCGTTGTCAGATAGGGTGAAGGTGGTATAATGGTGGTTCCATTCAAGGTAGAAATCGAGTATAGATGGTAAAGGGTAAATATATGTGGAAGTACCAAAGGGAGTTTGATGATAAAGACGATTTTATTATGTCTTTGATATGTACCTATATCGATGATATCATAATATCGAGATGTATTTACTGGGTCTAATCCAAACAACAAATTTTCAAAAGAATAATGTTCTGATAAAAATGTTATGTTTCGAGATCTTTTATTTTCAAAACGCTAGGGTGCGTAGTATGTAATTTTGCAAAAGTTATTGCATTTTCTAGATCTGTTAATATTTGGATTAGAAGGTGTAAAATGGCACTTAATTGATCGAATGCTTCTTTTGTTTCAAGAAAATGATTGAAATCAAAAACAAAGGTTGAGAGTTCTGAAGCAATTTTATCTATTCTATTTGCAATTACTTGTTGATTATGTTTCACCGTAGCAGTTGTTTCATTGAAAGTTTCAATTATATGTTTTGAGAATGAGATCTGATCATTTACCCTAGAAATAATGTTGTCCTGGCTGTTTTGCAATCCTATAATGGCTTGGTCATACTTTTCAGCGTCTTGAGAATCTAGATTACCACTAATACTCTCAATTATATTGCCTAATCCTTTTATAAGGCCTCGTTTTGATCTCCTGATGGGTGTAAGTGTATCAAATTTAGCAAATGATAATTGGAGCTTAAAGAATATCAAAGGAAAGGATTTGGAAATAGAACAAGACAATAAATTAAACTTTTTAGATCTGACTATAACAAAAACTAACAACAAACTAGATTTTTCCATTTACAGAAAACCAACCCAGACTGATCATGTCATTCCTTTCAATTCATTTCATCCCATGCAACATAAAATGTCTTCCTTCAATTGTTATGTTAACAGATTTTTGAACATTCCCTTATCTCCCTCCAATTTCAATTTAGAATTAAATACTTTAAAACAGATTGTTACAATCAACAATGGTTATCAACCATCCATTATTCACAAATTAATTAGTAAATTTAAACTCAGATCAAATAGAAGATTGGCCTTTAACTCCACCACCTTAGTTAATTCACCTTCTGTGAGATATTTTTCCTTACCTTATTTTGATCAAAATATGTGTACTGTTATTTCCAAATTTATAAAAAATACCAAGCCCGCTATTGACTGCTTCAAGTAATTTTGAATATTGACCTTGTATAAGGATAAGCTCGTCAGCGATAGGAGTAAAGTCAAAGTAATGAATGAAGGTGTGGAAACTACTTTTGACTCGTGCAGTTTCTAATTTGGAGGGTAAGATACCTGGATTTTTATTTAGTGACTGTATTTGAACTTCCTGGCTCATCGTCGGCGATAGGACGAACCTGAAACAATGGTCTTTTGAAACTTGATTTGTGTAAAGTATTTTTGGGTTATTTCAATTTTGTCCTTTGGTCTTTCAAAACTGTTACTCTTTTGAATTTTGAGGCTAATAGGCACGCCTCAGTGCGTTTGTATACCGGTGTTTTTTCTTTGTAAGTGAAAGGGGGTTCGCGGTTTGCGTTCGTTTTTCAATTAGTTTTTGTTTCGATTTGTTGAGTTTTTCATTGAGGTGCCTATTGATCTCGGAGGTCTTGTTTTTATGAGCTACCATGTAGGCGCTTTGTACTCGATTTTCAATATTGATATTGAAAGGTTCTGAGGTAGATAGATGTCCAGTTATGACATCCATAGGTTTCATTCCTGTTGCGGAATGTATTGAATGGTTATACCCCATTATTGCATAAGGCATTTGTTTAATTATGTCAAGCTCTTTGTGGGTAGTTTGAAGAATTCTCAAATGCTCAATAATCGTGGAATGGAATCGTTCAACGATTCCCTTAGATTCAGGATGATCGGGGGTAACATAATGTAATTTTATGTTGTGGGTTTTTGCGAATTCTTGGATGAGTTCATTTTTTAGTTCAGTTCCGTTATCTGAGCTGAGTGATTCAGGAACACCATGATGATTAATATAAATGAGTAAATTATTAGCAACTTCAACAGCGCTAAGGTTGAGAAGGGGGTACGCTTGTCCAAATTTGGAGAAAGCGTCAACGATAGTCAAGAATTTTTGATTCTTTACTTGAAATGTGTCCATAAAAACTGTTTCGAATGGCTTAGTTGGCGTTGGACTCACTTGGAAAACTTGTTTGGGGGGATTACGGTCATATTTATTAGGTTGACATACAGTTGTTAATGTATGCGCGGGTATCGATTCCTGATTTTGGCCAATAATGAGTTTCTCTAATTCGTTTTTCCGTTTCGACTATGGTTTGTTTTGCCTTCGTGATATTTTTGTATTGTTAATTGTTGATCGTCAGTCCGAATAACGTCTTTTAGCACATTTGTACATCTAACAAATTCATACGAGGGTGTTTTGAATGTATTTTTAATTATTTCACAAAATCGGGGTATCATATTTTCGTCTGGCAAATATATTGCGTACGTATATTTTGGATCAAGAAAATCCTTGAGCAGTTTGATAACGTCTTGTTCAAAATTTTGCAACGATAACTGAGCAAATATTCTCTTTTTATTTTTAAAAATGTCTAATTTTCGGTTCTGCTGGTGTGTATGGTCAAAAAACTTGCCCATACACACCGGAACAGAATGGTCTCTGCGAAAGGTACAATCGTACAGTCGTAGAAAAAGCGAGATGTTTGTTATTCGATGCAGGATTAGCTAAACCTTTTTGGGCAGAAGCAGTAAACATTGCAGTTTATCTGCGCAACAGGTCAATCGCATCAGGATTGAAAAGACACCTATAGAGATATGGACCGGAGCTAAGCCAGATGTCAGTAATCTACGCATCTTTGGAAGTAAGGCTATGGTACACATACCAAAAGAAAAACGATTAAACTTGGACAGAAAAGCAACTGAGTGTATTCTTGTTGGTTACTCAAACAATGTAAAAGGTTACCGAGTATACAATCCCAAAAATAACAAAGTAACAATAGCAAGGGATATTGTTGTGATTGAGGAGGGGATTGACCAGCAGCAGGAAGTGATACACATTGATATTAGTGAGGACACTGATG